TTACTTTTGGGCAAAACTCTAATGTCCCCTTCCAGTTATCCATAAGTAAATCCAAAATGCCATTCTGTATTGGAAAAGTTAGGAATAAAGAAAAATTCAACTGTTCTGTTATAGGAAACCTTGACTCTTGTGGGCAGAGTGGCATCCCTACACATTTTATGGTTTCATGTTGATTAAGTAGGGGGAGCAATGAAATGTAATGGTCCCTTTAGAATGCTTCTGTCTATGGGAAGGAACGTGTTGGCAGTGAGCGTCAGCATTAAGGAGGATGAAGATCAGGTGAGAGACTTCCAGTGAGAAGATATGACCAATTGTCTTTAGGAGGAGAAATAACTAATTTCATTTTTAAGCTTTCTGTCTCTGACTCCCCATTTCCTTTTATAATGCCCCAGTCTTCAGTAAAGTGTTATTGAACACTGTGATCTGGACTTCGGAGAGCTGCAGCAGCAGAGATCTGTGGAGCAGCTGCCTGAATTGACAATGGATATCCAACAACCTACACAGAGTTGTGGAACATGTACATGCAATCACTGAAACCCTTAAAAACACCTGGAAAGGGAGCCCTAAAAAGACTGGATATGAATGTTGTGCAAGTGGAATGGGAGATTTTGATTATTGTATTTGGGGAGTAATGGGAAGAACACTGCAGACTTGTAACATGCTTAATAAAAGGATAGAAAAATTGATTCACCCCAATAGTACAAAACAACCATCACCAAAATCATTCTCATCATTCAATTTCATTTGACAACTTCAGAACGCTCGACACAATGCTTCAATTACAGCAGGACTTTCTACAAGTGAATTTTCTGTACAATTATGAAATTAACAATGCTTCACTCCCTTAATGAGTTCAAGTTCTGGGTAGAGGAAACACATCCATACTCAATAGACATTCATGGCCAACTGAAGATCCCAAATTGTCTTAAAAAATATAGTTCAGTGGGAAGAAAGACATGCTTAATTTTCAAGTATCCTTAAAATCGGAAAATACATTTTTTTAACTTAAATGAACTGTAAGCACTTTGTCCTGATTTCTACAGGAATTGTTTTCTACTAATTATTCTTTTTTTTTTTTTTTTTGAGACGGAGTCTCACGCTGTTGCCCAGGCTGGAGTGCAGTGGCGCGATCTCAGCTCACTGCAAGCTCCGCCTCCCGGGTTCACGCCATTCTCCTGCCTCAGCCTCCCGAGTAGCTGGGACTACAGGCGCCCGCCACCGCGCCCGGCTAATTTTTTGTATTTTTAGTAGAGACGGGGTTTCACTGTGGTCTCGATCTCCTGACCTTGTGATCCGCCCGCCTCGGCCTCCCAAAGTGCTGGGATTACAGGTTTGAGCCACCGCGCCCGGCCTTACTAATTATTCTTTAATGTATATGTTTAGTGCCCATGTTCACATTTTTCAGGATACTTCTGAGAGTCCTAAAGCCCTGTAAATTTATTACTAAGAAATAACCAAAACAGTCCTCAAAATAGTGGTTTTCATTTTTATTTTAAATCAAATAAAATGCTCTTTATTCAATGATTTTTAGAACCATTAGTCTCCTTTTTCTTCAAATGTCCATGGTATTCATGTTAATTGAATCAGGTCATTCTTTCTCAATGTTTCTAAAAATTTTCCTCTCAGAGATGAGATGCACGTTTTTCTCAAATGCTAATATTATTTATATTTACAATTACTCACAGAAAATCTGGCTGTAGACTCCATTGCCAGATTGTTTATTAATGAGTAGATTTTGAGAAAAAATATTTTATTACCATTTTTATGTCTTAGGGACCTCATCATTGAAGCTAAACTTCTAATCTTCCTTACAACATAAAGATAATTTTACTTATTGGAAGCTTATGTACCTAAAATTTAGATTTTGACAACTGTCTTGCTTTATATTTAAGTTTATAAATATTATAATAAAGAAAGCTACGCCAGGATGGTTTAAACTCTTTAACTTATAAATGATAACTGTGAGACTTCTTGGTATGCTCTGGATGACATTCCAGTTGTCATTTTGTGTTTGTAGATATAAGTCAAGGATCCCTAAGTTATTCTAAAGTCATGCCCATTGTTCCTCGAGTCTTGGCTTCTGATAATGTCTTGATTTGCTTGAAGTACCGTTGGTTGGTTTATTAATCTCCTTATTGTTAAGATGATTCAATTAAAAATGTCCCAGTCATTTGACAACTTAATCAAATAACTTCAGACAGAGATAATATTCTCATGAAAATAACAGGGTGATTAAATGTAGAGGGACTGAGTAGCCCCTTCATATAAAGTCATCGTGGGAGCCGGGCGCGGTGGCTCAAGCCTGTAATCCCAGCACTTTGGGAGGCCGAGGCGGGCGGATCACGAGGTCAGGAGATCGAGACCATCCTGGCTAACACGGTGAAACCCCGTCTCTACTAAAAATACAAAAAACTAGCCGGGCGCGGTGGCGGGCGCCTGTAGTCCCAGCTACTCGGGAGGCTGAGGCAGGAGAATGGCGTAAACCCGGGAGGTGGAGCTTGCAGTGAGCTGAGACCCGGCCACTGCACTCCAGCCTGGGTGACAGAGCAAGACTCCGTCTCAAAAAAAAAAAAAAAAAAAAAAAAGTCATCGTGGGAGATCTCTAGATAGAGGATATTTCAGCTGGGATCTAAATGTCAAGCATGACGTGGTCTCTCAAGAAAAAACATAAGAAAAAGCATCAGGAAGAAGGAAGCAGAAAATACAAGGCCATCAGGTAGGAATAAGCTTTGTTTGCTTGAGGAGTGACAAGCAGACCAGTGAGATGACTAAAGTGGGAGAAGTCGCCAATGCAATAGGAAAAGTGGACAGGGCCAGATTACACTCAGCCTTGCAAGCTGCGAGGATTATTTTATTTTATTTTATTTATTATTTTATTTTATTTATTTTTGAGATGCAGTCTCACTCTGTCGCCCAGGCTGGAGTGCAGTGGCGCTATCTTGGCTCACTGCAACCTGCGCCTCCCGGGTTCAGGTGATTCTCCTGCCTCAGTCTTCCGAGTAGCTGGGACTACGGGGGCCTGCCACCATGCCCAGCTAATCTTTGTATCTTTAGTAGAGACGGGATTTCACCATTTTGGCCAGGATGGCCTCGATCTCTTGACCTCGTGATCTGCCCACTTCAGCCTCCCAAAGTGCTGGGATTACAGGTGTGAGACACTGTGCCTGGCCAGAGTTCTGATTTTATAAGCATGGAATCGCATGTCCAAGATATGGTTAAGTAAAAAATCCATGTTTCGAATAGCCTGAATAGAAAGATCCCCTTAATATAAAATTATATATTCATTTTCATATGTGTCTGTAGGCACAGAGACACATTGGGGCCTATGTTCAGAGAAACGTTAACATTGGAAATATCTGAGTGCTGGACTTCAGGTGACAATTATGTTCCTTTTGTATTTTTCTGCACCGCTTGAATTGTTTGCTAAAACAACAAAGCCATATCAAATATGCATACATAAAAAAAATGAGCCATGGTCCTCTTTGACTAAGATTTAATGTTAAGACAACATTGACATTATTGTGGCCTCCAAACTCAGAGAAGATAGAAAAAAATGGAATTATAAAGAAAAGTTTGTTGGATTTTATTAATAAATGTAACAATAAAATAACCTATGCTTTTTGGGGGAGTTTTCAATGATTATGGAAGATACGAAAAGCACCAAGAAACCTAGAGTGCACAGAACATGAACAATCAAGAAATCCCCTTATTATGTACCAAAATAGAATTCCCCACATGCAATTGGTATTTCCCTCAACTTCTGGAAAGTGAAAAATGAATAGGAGGACATTAAGCTGACAGAAGGAAGAAGGTGGAAAAAGGGTAAATAGTATTCACGTTACACATTAATTCAATTACTCACTCCTTTGACACAGATTTTAAAATAATCTAAATAAACAAGGGTTGTGTGCAAGACATCTGTTTGAATTAGATTCTCATGGGTGTAAAAATAAAACATGACCACAAAGGGAAGCAGGCAGGGCTGAAAGGCAGCACAGAGGCTACTAGCTTCATAACAGAATAGTCAGACTTAGGGTTTCCATACTCCACCAAAAAATACATGGGAAATCTTCTTTTTGCATCTACTTCTCCCATCAAAATCTTTCCATTGCTTTGTTTTATGTCACTCTTATTTTTACTTGTACATATTCACCTTTTGTTATATCCTCATATTTCTGTGGTGTCTATGGAGTCCTGCTTCAGAGGATTCACTTGAACCAGCTTTGAATTTGCATGTAACTACCTATTGCCATAATTCCATGGAAAACCACTAGGAGAGTGTTATTATTCCAAAACTGGATTACTTCCATAAATAATCTAATGAGAGCTTCATTTTTTTTTTCTGCCTATGAAAGCCACTTGAGTTCCATTCCATTTATGGGAAAAAAAGGCTTTTCTGTTTCTATTGAATTAAGCAAATGGCTGTCTTTTGGCAAGGAAAGAAGAAAAGCATTAATCATTTCCAGTTCACTATATCAGGATGTTTACTCACAAAAGACAAAGATTCAATTATATCTTTCTTATTATGACCTCCAGGTATTTTTCTCAATGTGACCATTCTATAATTCTTCAGAAGAGGTTATTTATGGATATATCCTACTTAGAAGAATAGAATGTGTGCAATAGCATAAGAACACTTTGGCATCACTTTCAGATAACCTGATGCCTGCATTGGTCTACCATGACTAGAGGCATTTGTTTGTAATAATAAATAAAGTCTGATGGTGGTCCTTGAGGATGCTGGTTGCTTTTTACCCTCTCCCCAATCACCATCCCTCTGAATGTAGTAGACTATTTCTAGGATTGGGTCTTATCTCTGGCCATATTGAAATCTACCCCCCAACTCTTCAAACTTAGCTCTCTCCTTCCATCATGTAGGATTGCACCTGACCTTTTGCCCACCTGGGTTTCATGGGCTTAGACTTCACTCTTAATTCTTGCCTTAATTCTAGCTGCTGCAGTTGGCTTGGCAACCATTGTCAACAGAGTTCCCCCTCAGGCTCTGTCTCAGCAATAGTGTAAGTAGAACTGAGGCTGGCACCTAGACTGTGGTGGGCTGATTCATAGAGGCTGGGTTGGACTGAATGGAGAAGAGATAAAACTGTGAGAAAGAGAGTGAAAAACATGAAAATCCATGAGTCAATATGTGAGTATGAAGAAGACAGAAGCCCATATTTGTGAAGAGCTACACTGCTCACCAGTGACTTTCCATAAATACCTATCCACCTCAGCATTGAGAAGAGATAGAATTTTCTCATCAAATGCTGCAGGTGTTAGCTGAGTATGCCTTTTTCTTAGTCAGTTCTGACTACTAGTTAAAAATATTCAAAGGGGCTGTTATGTGAAATTATTGTTTAGCATTTCTATTTGCAGAGCCTATTTTAAGGAGGTTAAATCACTTTTTAATTTAACTAGTTAGGCTCCTATTGGATAGTGATGAGGTACCTTGACTACATTCTGGAACTAGGCGTAATCTTCAGTAAACTGATATTAATGTATTTTCTTACTTTTAAATTATTTTCATAAAAAGTTTCTTTATTTAAACACAAACAATGTAGCAAAGCTTTCTAAAAATAAAATGTTTAAAGTAATATATATATATATATATATATATATATATACTTTTAAATATAAAATTGCATACCTTTGTCATTAATTTATAACTTCTGGTAAACACAGCTTAATTTAACCTTGGCTTTATTCTTAGATTTTGATTGAATGTTTCTTTTATCTTACCCTGGATCATTTCATAAAGTTGTTACATAGACTTCTGGGTTTATACAAGTTATTTTAAAAGCCATTGTAGTCTCTCAGAACTGGCATCACACATCAACTTCCAAATAAGGGAATTTTTTTGGTCTGTCTTCTTTCATAAGTTTCTGTTGAAATCTTTCCTTTATATAACAGAAGAAGTGAAAAGGGAGAAAAACATGAAGGGCATTTTATGCTGAAAGCACAAAAACTGGGTTTTTATCTAATCATGTGGAAGTATGTTTTCTCTCTGGTGTTAAATAAATGAGAAATATATAATTTCCGTTGATTTATAATTGAAAGCTGGTAGCTATATATTATTCAAAATTGAAACATACTACAAGTCGTTGCTTTTTTTGTAATATTGTTCTTGCAAATGTATTCTCAAGTTGGTGGTGTGAATTCAAACAATACATATGTAAAAATAGAAAAAGAAACAAAAATGCCCAGACTTTCCATTTGGTGGTTAGAACATATTCTTGACCTCTACCACAAACGAGTGTGTCTATCCATACATCACTGGGCCTTTTCAAAGCGTTTCCAGATTCGTTGGGAAGCTTTGTCATTGAATATAATAAAGCTCATATTTAGAGTTTAGAGTTTTTCTCTTAGCAAATAGCAAAACACAAAAAACAAAAATCAAAAACACCAAACAAACAACCGAACAATGACCCTCCCCCCTCTTTTTTTATTCACGGGAGGACAAAATCCTCATGTAAGAATCTCAGGAACATAAACATAAAGCTATGCACATGGGGCCATAACCAGTTATTCCTATTGCTCTTTTATTGAAGCACTGTTATTGTCTGGGGTAAATACCTGAGATTTATTGCCTCACGCCAAGGAAATCAAGGACGTGGACACACGAAGGGAGGTTAAGAGTGGAAGATCAACAGGCGAAAGAAAGAATAGCTCTCTCTGCTGCAGAGAGAGGGGTCCCAGAGAAACGGGTTGCCGGTTCTGTGGTGGAATGCAATGGGTTTTATAGATGAGCTTGAGGAGACGGTGTCTGTTTTACATAGGGCATAAAAAAATTGGTCAGACCAGGTGTGCTATTTGCATAAGGTGCAAAAAACTGGTTAGTACTAGGTGTGCCGTTTGTATGGTGTGTGATAAAGCTGGCTGCCCCACCCTAACCTCTTATTATGCTGATGGGTTCTTTGCCTGGCAGGGGCCATGTTGCCTGGTTCTTTGCCGTACATGTGGTGACAGAAAAAATGGAAGATGGCGCCTCCATGTTGAACATACTTGGCTTCCAGTTAGCCCTTTTCTATTGGCACAGCTGCCAGCATTTACCCATGCCAGCTTTCAGCTTGCTTATCTATGTCTGCAGCTCAATTTTTCAGGTTGCTCTTTGTTAGAAAAGAAATGATTTTGGGGCTGCTTTTTGTTAAAAGGGAAGCCTTGCCCAGGAGTCCTTTACTCTCACTATCTGCCTCAGTAATTACTTTCTATCGGCCAGGTGCGGTGGCTCACGCCTGTAATCCCAGCACTTTGGGAGGCCAAGGCGGGTGGATCATGAGGTCAAAAGATCGAGACAATCCCAGCCAACATGGTGAAACCCCGTCTCTACTAAAAATACAAAAATTAGGTGGCCATCGTGGCATGTACTTATAGTCCCAGCTACTTGGGAGGCTGAGGCAGGAGAATTGCTTGAACCCGGGAGGCAGAGGTTGCAGTGAGCTGAGATTGCGCCACTGTGCTCCAGCCTGATGACAGAGCGAGACTCTCTCTCAAACACACACACACACACACACACACACACACACACACACACACACACAGAAATTTCTTTCCATTTCCTGTGTCAGTGCCTTGCATTGAATACCTAGCATACCTGTATCCCTTTAACCAGTTGTAATTTATATATAACCATATACACTTAGAATTATAAAAAATAAATGTTCTAGGTTCCTTTGAGGAGTCCTCTGGATTTCCTTTTGGTCACATCTCTTAGTTACTAATCACCCTTTTCTCTGCTTTCTTCTCCTTTACCGCCAATCTAGAACCACAGCTGGGAAAAGTTGAGTTGCTTCTCCCCATAGAACCTAGCACTGACTGCTCTAGTATTCTGCATGGTGGAACCTTTGAGAATATTTGGAGACAGGATGCTTGGCACGAAGGGTTGGGATCCTCAAAATAGGGGGTCACTCCAATGGAGTTAATGTCTTATTTCCTTTTCCTGAAAGAAAAGAAAAGTGTATTTACTGAAAATATTAAAAAGATCTTTTATGAACATTTTTCTTAATGGAATCAGTGAATACAATCAAAATACAATCAAAACAAGAAGTAATGGTAGGCATGTATCATTCTATGAGTGTGCATATTTAATAAAAAGATAAAAAGCAAGCAAATAAAACTCACTCCAAAACTTTAACGTATTTATAGATATTTAATTATTCTTCTCTGTATCAAGCTCCTTCCTGTTCCTATTATAAATGACAACAAAGAAAATTGTTGGCTTATGCATCAGGGTATTTGTACTCTTTGTAACGACAATTTGCATTTGCTTTTTCAATACTATGGAGAGGATATGAGCTCTTGGTGTAGTGTCCCAAGGATATGAACAATTCAGGCTAACATGCAGTAATTTTCCTTTCCGACAAATAATAAATGGAAAAGGAAACTGGAGTTGTGACTAAATGTAATGATTAAATAAACATGTCTCCCAGTTCAGGGGTCAGTTCTAGTCATAGTCTTTATTATTATTATCAGAATTGAGTTGTGATTATTGGATTGGAATTGTTTTAATTTTTACGTCAAGACAGCTAAAACAATCACATTCATAGCATCAAATGTCCATTTGGCAGTGTATGATTATTGTCATTTACTGTATAAATGTACTAAATTCTTTTTGGATAGCCATGGCTTTTAAGATAGTTAAAGGATACTTGCTTTATTCTGATGGGAAAAGGAAAGAATGAAAGTAATTTATCTACTGATTTCTTTCAAGGCTTACAGAAAGTCAGGGCCAGGTCTTAGTAAGTTCCCTGGAGCTTATAGGGAGCCTGTTTCTTTGCCACAGTAATAAATGTTCTTTACCTAAAAGCAGAAAGGAAGGCATCTCCTTCTTGAACAGTTTCTTGGTTCCTGGATTTGCTAGCATTAGAGCAGGAAGGAAGTAGCTGCCCAGATTCTAGTCTGAAGGGCTGCTGGGAAAATAGGTCTTTCTTATTTCTTTGAACAAAAGAGAGAGATTCCCTGGTCAGTAGGCATAAAATTGTAGTTGCCTTTAGACTTATTCACACTAGTAAAGAAAATGGTCCCCAAATATCTTCCAGTTTGTTAATGTTCACTCTGTGTGTGTGTGTGTGTGTATGTGTGTGTACCTGGGTTTATTTTCAGATCATAGTCATCAATGTATTTTTGGAACACTAGTCTTGCAAGACGATTTCTGAAAGCTGCTCTGGTCTTACAGCATTTCTCTTCTTGAAGAGTCATGATACCTACTAACATATTAAAGGTACTGGAGAGTCTCAAAGTAAAGAAACACCCGAACTTGATTTGACCCAGAATTTCCCTAGCTTCATTTGACCATGAAGCACTTTTTCTTATAATGATTAATAATAGTTCAATTCCATAAACATATTTAAGAAATGCTGAATTCGATGATTTTTCCAAAGAAATTCGAATGAACATAATACTCTAATGACAGAGGAATGTAAAAATGTAGGCAGCTGCCAGTTTCAGTATCTCTGCCGGCTTCTTTAAGCTGAGCTTAGTCAATTCCACTTCCCAAAGCCTAGATCTGCTAAAGTATTATTAGGCCCACAAACCCTGTAAAATTCTTTCTATGCAAGTAGCAGCTGATAAAGGGGCTCGCTAAGGTTTTTTATTTTTATTTTTTAACCTTAACTAGAGTGTTCCTTTTCCTGTAATATGTTGCCAAGCCAGTTCTATTAGGCAAGTCAATTAAATTACTTCCTGTCTCTTCTATCATCTTCTACCATCTGATACTCAGTGACGTTGGGACCAAAAAATGTACAGTTTTTTTCTAAAAACATATGCTCATCCCAGGGAAAAAAATAGCAATGAAGAAAAAATGTTCCTCAGCTATCTGAGGATTCCAGTCCTTGGTGGTACTTGCAAACAGCAACAAGCTACATTTAACAAAACAAATCCATTTGGTGTCTTACATTACTCTGTGAATAGAAATTTGGGCCATTTTACTCTAAGACAACAGGAAAAGGTCTGAATTTCTTTGATTTTTGCCTTACGGTGAAGAAAAAAAAAGTAAAGAAAAGCACAGAGTTATTAATTAACTTCTGTGAAAGATACTTTATTTGATTAATGGTTTACAGCTAAATTTAAATCAGGACAGATATGCTGAATAACTACATGTTTACCAAGATTATTACCAGGTACACTGCCAGGAATTTTATTAACCTATAGGCT